GCTACGAGCGATTTCCGCCCGTAGCGCAGCTGGTTATTTTGATAACTGATGCTGGCATTAACAATTGTAATGGCAATATATATTATATATGTATATGATCACTCTGAAAAATGAAAGTGACAAGTAAGAAAAAAGAAGCAACTATTTTTAATAAGTCTAAAATTATCATCATCATCATCAGATTATGAAATTTTTTCAGGAAATTGATTTTAGAATCAGTACTATTTCGCATAATATACCTATATGTAATTTCATTTTAAACTGTGTAAAAAATGTTTAGTTAAAAAATTTGCATCAAATTGGTTTGTAATAAACCATAACGTGGTTAGTAAATGATAGCGATATCTGATATTCTATATGAAAATCATTATAAAAATCCCTTAAAACTATTAAGAAACTCAAGTATCCCAAGATATTACCCCAAGATACATAGTATACTAATGTAATTTTACAAAAATTTGTATATTTGAACCTTTTCTTAAAAATTATATTAAACTTTTATTACTACTCTAAAACATTCATGATAAAGACAAAAAATCTCTAAATTTATAAGAATAGCTTCAATTTAACAAAAATGGGCAATAAACGGTTAATTGGATGATTCTGTGCGAGCTTAGACTGCGAATATTATTCAGCGGCCCCCGCGGGCACGGATGCAATCACCGAAACGTGTTCCATCTCGACACCCCGCTGTAATTTGAAGAGTCTGAGGGTACGATCTATGTTGCGTGACTGCGTTACGATTACAATACATTAACATTGCATAATTTATATCCAATACAGAAGGATATATCTTATAGTAATTAGGAAAGATATACTTTCCAAAAACTATTTCGTCTTTCATAAATAGTGCAGAAAGTCAAGAAAGAATGTATGCCACAAGAAGAATTTTAACATAAAGATACATAAAAGCTTTCCTGTTCAGATTATTTTGCAATTTATTTTTAACGAGCAAGGTTTAAAAAATGTTTACAATTGCATTATAGCTATGTATTTTTCTTATTTCAAAGTTGAATTAAAACTATATATCAGAAAATAATGTAATTCAGAACACTGATAAATTTGATTTATTTTGTAAAATTTCAACATATATTTGACATATGTATTTTTAATAAGATAGAAAAAGAGAGTATTAAAAAGAATATAGCTTTAAGTATTTAAAAGAAGATTGCAAGCTCTATCGCTCTAAGATTATTTTTTTTAAAGAAAATATTTATTTGCAAGTAATCTAAAATAATCATGTCTTAAGTTGGGAAAATATTTCTGAACTATAAAAATTCAATAGAAATATATCAGCAGAAAATGGAATGACTCTGAAAAAATATATAGCTATGGGAAAATAATATTAAGGAAGCATTCAAGACGATACAACAATTGCTCAGGTATATGCTTGCATGCAGCGCGCACATTTTTTTTCTTTTATGTAGTCGTCTTTTTTTCTCTTCTTTTCCAAGGCATTTACCCTTACTGAGTAAGAATGGAAAAGCGCAATAACATTGCGACGCGCAGAAAGGGAGTAGAATAAGAAAAGAGAAAAAATTATCGGAACCTCATCGTTTAACAATTGAAAAATTGCTGGCAAAAATAGCCATTGAACAAATATAGCGCGTTCATACATAAGGGCAAAAAAGAAGTGACTTGTCCAAGTCGTGAAAAAGAAGCAAAAAATTCTCGAAATTCGCAATAGAATTTACGGAGAATATTTAATATATGTATTTATTTATCTGATATGTTTATATTATTTATATATTTATCATTAATAATCTAAAAGAGAAACTATTTTTCTAACGTCTTTGTTTTCATGAAATAATTGCACTGATATTAAAAAACAAGCAAGAAAATATTTAATTGCATAAACACTTTTTGCAAAAAGAAATTGAATTTACAGTAAAACTATAAGCACAATGTGTATAGATCGGATGAGTACTTAAAACAAATTTTATACTTGAAAATTATAAATATTCTAAGAAAGATATTTTTTTATAACTTTTTTTATGCTTAATTATTCTTCATTTTACCGTTATTGCTTAATTTTTTTAATTTAATTTTGTGATTGCTATTATACTTCCTATATATTTTTAATTAAACGCAATATATGTTTTTAAAATATATAATTTACGTAAATAATTGTTTTCTTAATTTAGTATTAAAAAAATAAATATATATTTACTCAAATTTATGGACTTCTCTATCTGCCGTTAGAAGAATGGAGTTTGTTACGTAATTATCAAATACGAAGAAGGATGAGAGGGAAGCCGAAATATCCTCTTATAAAGTGGCCTCTCAAATTACTTTCCATAAAATGATTTCAAGAAATATCCTTGTGCATCTCAACATACATTACGTAAAAAAGGGTATGGTCTAGTAACGATTTCAAACAAATAAATGACTCACTATCTCGACCTAGGCAGCTCAAATAAATAAATAGCTAATAGTATATTCTTGCTTATAAACGTTTATCCGAGCAGCATCGCACAACATTTCAGCATTAGGATTAAGCACGTGTCACAATAAAAAAAAACAAGTTTCCAACATAACGATTAACCAACACAAACACAAATAAACCATCTTAAAATCAAACACTAGCGGTGATATTTGTTGCAAACAATCCCACTTTTACAAAACACATTTAATATCAATTAAATGAATACTCGAATTCCAAATGCAAGTGTTTCAATCTAGAAGCTACACGATTCTGTTTTTCCAAATCGTAGTACAGAGAAGAGACCTTTTCGAGAAGATTTTCCCCACCACCCTGGTAGTGGCACATGCGCAAAATAAAAATATTAGAAAACATTAATTCTTTAACCTAACGTAGTGAATACGGAAGGAAAATAACATATGTAGGAAGATTTAGTAAAGAATTTTAAAAATTATTTTATTTTAAAAATGTTAGTACATTATTAAAATAATATGTCTATAAAACAAATATTTTCAAAAGGAAAGAAGACAAAAAAATCGATATTTTATCCAATACAGATTTAGTAGAATATTAAGGTGTAAGATTTCATGTAGATGGTGCCACAAGTTTATTTTCGATAGAGACACTTTAATAAGAGTTTGGCCATCAGAATATTTTCGTCATTAGAGAAAAAATGGCGGATCAATCGCGATGCTTCAATTTCGATTTGAAATCTCGAATTAAAAATATTCTGATGGCCAGACTCTTATTAAAGGGTCTCTAATTTTCGAGTTATATAATGAAAACGTGAACAAACGTACGTTAATGTTGATTAGTTGTAGATCGATTTAAGTAAAATTTGTGAATTGTAAAAATATTCATGATGGTATAAAGTTTAGTTTAATGGATATTTTAACGTAAATTTGACATAAATCAGGTTCAACGTTTTATTGAAGATATAAGCTTGAGGCTCAATTCGGCAAAGCACAATTATAAATTGTATAAAAGACTCAAATTAATAAATGTTAAATCGTAGTTTGGGCCAATTAAAATCCCGATATTTAAATAGCTACTGTTTGTGAAGTAAAGAAAACGCAAAGATTTTTATATTCTTTTTTTATAAGTTTTTTATAAGTTTTTTTTTTTGATAAAATAATTTTGTATCGGTGTATTTTGAGACATCCTGTATGACGAGTAGATAGTCCTAGTGTGTGCGTGCATATGTGGAAGATGGTGTATGCATGGATGGCAGATCCTGCGGGATTATGTCCTGTGAGTTGGTGCTTTTATTGTTTCTCCCATAGAGAGAGAGAGAGAGAGAGCTATAGACCGCGCGAAGAGGGGTTCGGCGGCGTGGCTTGTATCTTCGAAGGATCTACGCGCATTTTCACTTAGCCAGGCTACACGATCCGGCCGGCACGGCGTTGATGCACCCCACGTGGTTAGATCATTAGTACCGACTCTTCGACAGTCTGCAAGTACCTGGCCCCTGCCCTTCAATCTTGTTGCTTTTATCTTCAGTTTCGTTACTTTTTTTTATTTTCTTCTCTTCTATGATGACGGTACCTGCCTCAGATCTTGTTCGACCGTTTGAATTTTGGTCTTAAAACGATGTACAGATTGGAGGAATTTATATTTTTATAATTGAAATGTGTTTGTTAATAATAATTAAAATTTTTAAAAGCAGCTGTCAATTGCATCAAAATCAATTTAATTATTTTGTCAAAGTAATAAAAAAATTATTTAATGTTTTAGAAATTATGAGAGTAATTAAGAGAGTGTCACATATATGTAATTTATTTTATTTTGTATTTTAGAAAATTTTATATATATATATGTTTCCATAAATTTATTTTACATGTTTTGATACACTATCAATGACAATATTAAAAGCTATTTAATCAAAATTAATTTATTCTCTCCAAGAATGATAACGATCACGCTGTGCTATATAAGATGTTTATCTTGATGAGATGCTATTGTATACAAGAGAATAACGGATATATTTTTTGCAGCTATCTTATATTCATAACTTTTTTCGTTACTTCTAAAAGTACACGATTACTTTGTTCGTGTTCGATCGGCAAATAATTGTCGAATCTCCAATTAATCTATCTGATCTCCGACATAGACACAGCTGTGTCTTCCTGTCGTCCGATAAAAATTTGATAAGGTTAAGCAAATCGGGGGATGATACAGTCATATTTAAAGAACCTGCTCGCCTCCGGTTTCTTCAGACTCTACGGCGCGTAATAAATAAGTGAGCCCGAATGAAGTATAAAAATGGCAAAATCTACCCGTAAAATATAATAGTGAAATAACTAAATTAGTATTTATAAAATGGGGACAAAACTCATAAATATAATCTGTTATTAATTAACTCGCGTTCGTGTTCGAGGAAAATAATAAATAATAATTACTAAAATTAAAAAAATATTACTCAATATACTTATAAAAAAATAATATAACTTTTTTGCGTATAAAAGTAAAATGAAACTGTTAATATATGTAAATAAGTAATTAAACTGAGAGAAACTGTTAGTACAACGGCTAACTCAATTAGTTCTTTCTCCGTATTAAGAGTTTGATGGCCTTTCAGGTAAAATTGAACGGACGAGTCACGCTGCATGAGAGTCGCAATGATCTGCAATTAGTGAATCTGTGCGTACCTACAAGATCGGCAATCGTTGTAAGTAGATTAATCGTGATGCTGCTCGACACAAACTTTAAAGCTTTGAAATAACAAAAGTCCACATATCTATCACGTGTAATTGCACAGCACTGCGTTGGACAATATCCGACTTCGCTTCTATTTTATTCGCACTTCTGTAAATCATCACACACAGTTCTTAATAAAGAAAAAAAGAAAACTGAATTATCCTAGCACGATTTTTGCAGCTAGAATTATTTTTTCATTATTATACACAGTCAACAATTGACTGGTTTAATTCGCTTCTAGTGCACTTAATGGCAAAATTCCTTGCCGATGGAATGCATCACGAAGCTGAGAACGATGCACACTAAACAAAAAGTAACACAAACAAACGATCAGTCCGCCGCGATGGCTTCGCCTTAATTCGCCGGAAAGGAAAGAATCGCCGCAAACGTGAATCGCAACAATGGCATTAACGAACCTCTAAAATGTCCGAAAAAGACAACGTTGATTCAGATTGAAAATTTATTGCAGCACTGAATATTTTGCATCAATTAAAATGTAGACTGCATTGATAACATAGATAATATTTAGATTGAATCCTACATCAAATGATTACTTCTCAACAAACTTAAGCATAATTTTTATATAATATGTACATATCGTACGCCTGTGTTACATTATGTATATGGCAGCTATAGTCGGTATTTATTGGATTACTATCTTGTTTTGATAAAAATGGATACAGAAAAATTAATGAAATATATACATAAATAATATTGTATATTACAATTTTATATATAAAATATAATTTTATACAAATATTGTCAGATATATGATTTATATGTATAATTAAATATAATCAACATATATAACAATGAGTTTTTACATAAAAATAATTTTAATTTAAGTGTGATATATACAATCTTTAATATAAAATATACAATCTTTTTTAAGTATTATAATTCTAATACATTTAATGGTTTTTATGAATTATAATTCTATATTTATATAGAATTGCCTATTCTATTTAAATTTAAAATTTGAACATATAATTTATACATATAAGTACAATGCTGCATTAAAACTTAGTTTTTTTCAAAAACATAGCAATATAACTGCGTATATAAATTTTATTATTTGCTAAATAAATTATTTATAGATCTAAAGAAAATCAAAGATAGCAATACAAAAATTAACTTATATTAGTTTAAGTTTAACTTTAAAATTTATTTCCTATATTGTACCTGCATATCCTATTTTTTCGGCCATACCTCGAGATACTGTACGCTGTATTTGGAGAAGCATTAGCTACGTGAAGGGCGAGCATCCGACAGCTGCAGCTCGCCATTGCGTTGTTTGGTGGCGCGACGCTGCCGCGCTTATATTAATGCAATGACGGGCCTGCCAAGGCACGGCAGAAGAGGGAGGTTCTTGAAGTAAGAAAAAGGATGGGGAAAGGAAAGGATCTCTTTGTCCTCATCGAAATCCTTACAGCAATACTGACCTGCTTCTCACTGGCGTAGACTATCATATCTTGAATCGAATGTCTTCTGGAATGCGCTACCACGTACATAAATTCTTTGAAATATTTTTCTCTTAGTAATAATTATAACATTATTTACCAGAAATTGTGCTAGAAAACGGTTGTTACGTAAAGGCAAAAATAATCATTGAGATGGTTGTGAATAATCGCGTAAAAGGATAAGGTACGTTTTAGAAATAACAATAATTCAAATCATATTTATAGCAATTGGAAATTAATGTCAGTTAATAAATTTGCAAATAATGATATTTACTAAAAATGAAAATATTACAAATAAAAATTTAAGTGAAATAAATATTTACAAGAATATTTCTGAAATTCAAATTAATTTTATAAGACCATAATTAATAGTCGAGATAACATTCGCTTATTTGTGACAAGCTAAATCTTATTTTAATCACCAATTTTATTATACAATTCTAGAATATTTTCTGAAAGCGGCTGATTACAGTAGACATTGTTTTGAAAGTCTGACAGGGGTCCTACACCATTGTCCATTGAAACTGGCCACTCGCAGCCCTGCTGCGCTGTGGTTAACTTCTGTTAGAGATCACCCATCTCCTCCATCTCGGGAGATATTCCTACACCCCAACGCCATTTTTTGACAGGTACCAATGCGTATGTAGGAGGGATTAACGTGTAAAATCGTGTGCCGCTTCTTCATGGGCCCGCGAGCACGGTGGGTGCCCGGACTAGCGGGAGGGAGACGGAAACCTCTTTCACTCCGTTCATTGGTATTTTATTATCGGCATCGTCGACCGAGATACTCCGTCCTTCGAACGGACTATTAAGCCCGGGGATGATAAATTTTTATAAAGCTATTCCACCGTTAATAGTCACTTACTTTCGGTCAGGTTCTTTCGGAACCTGTTTTTTTAGTGGGACCGTAGGTAACGCATGTGCGACTTTTGTGACTGCTCGGCGTATCTACACGTACAGAATGCCGAATTATTAATCAATGTTTTTTTCTTTTTTCCTTTATTACGCCTTTCTCTGCCGGATCTTTGGCACATGACAAACGATACGTGAAATATTGGATTGTATTTAAATATATTACAATATAGACAGTAATGAATTTTTGTTTGCCATCCGTCTCGTTTCTAAAAAAGAACGAAGAATTGTATTTATTTTTAACAAAGTTGTAATATCATATTTTCTACTGTATATTTTTTTTAATATTAATTTTTTTAATGTTACTTTTATCGCGCGCGCGTGCGCGTACATCGCACGTTATACGGACGATTGTTAAATTTATTACTTCTTTGAAATTAATCTTTCTTATCTTTATGTTAATCTTTATACACTTTTTTAATTCTTCAAAATAAATTATCAAAATGGAAGATGAAAAATCTGTTTTATAACTCTTATTTACAAAAGATTAGTATGTAATTGAAGACGATCAAATGAAGTACCTTTGTTCAAATGGTTTGATCTCCTTGTAATCTGGAGATTACAAGATTTGAAGAGTGCATTTAGTTAATTATGAGAGGGACAAGTCAAGACAAACCTAACTCTTAACTAAACTTGACTTAACTCTTAATGAGACGCAAATGACTTCGAATCCTTTGTCAAAATTACCATCTTTTTTTTTAATATGTCTCTTTCATTTTCTTTTTTTTGTTGGTTGAGCGTAATCATATTCGAAAAGCGTAATTTTTCTTTTAATCCAAATGCACAAGCCGACTATTGCCCATCGAGAGATCAATCAAAGATCTTTGCTTAAAGTTAAATTCTGGCAATCTAAAGGATTCAAATAATCGCATTGTCATAAATCTCGAAATTCTTTTAAAATAACGCGTCTTACCTGAGAAAAGACCTTCCTCGCCTCTTGAGCCAAGATTTTGCATCTTTGATTCGAGATAAGGATCTCCCGTCCGCGCGCGTCGAACCCGATGGTGTTTGACGAGGGGCGACAGGACGCGCGGCGGCGTGAATGTGCAGCGAATCTTTCTCCCGCTGCCTCTTTACACTTGTTTGATCTGTGAACGTGCAAGTCTCGCGCTCGACAACATGCCTCCCTCGCGCAGGACCAGCGTGAGAAAGCCTGAGGACGCCCGGAAATTATTCGGTTAGGAGAATTATTTTCTGTGAGAGAAAAAAAGAAGAGAAAAGAGATAGAAAACGGAAGTGAATTGCTTCTTTTGTGAAGCATTTAGAATAGAAATCATAGACGCATCTAATTAACTTTTAGGAAATATTTTATATATTTTATATAAAAAGTACAATATCTATTTTGGCCCATCACCAAAATTAATTAATTTAATTAACGTGACAATTTAGTTAACATCGATTTTCCCAATTTGTACGTAAGAACAACTGAGCTATTAAACAAGTAGTGTCAGTCTTCGGAATTCTTAAAGTAATGCGTAAATATTTGGTCACGTTAAATGATCACAAATGAAAAATATCAGATGGAACTCTGATTGGAAAGACAAAGTTTTCAAGGTACGTTTGAGATGAAATAAACGAATTTTTTATTCGAGTTGTTCTATATCTAATCGAATCGTTCATGTCGAGAACAGCGCGGATAACGTTGAAATTCATTTCGAGTAAGCCATGCTACCGAGACATTTCGTCGTGCCACGGTGGAATGTTGCACTTTAGCGCAAGCCGATCTTCGCGAGGTCCCAACGTTCCTCGAGAATCACCGTTTCTTCGATGAACCCACGATGAATTCCTCTCATGCCTTTACCCATCAGGAGACGCGGTAACGCAATCTCGGTAACCAATAGCGTTGTCGGTCGACGGGTAATTCCCCCACTATATAGACCGAGTGGAGCAAGGAGCTAAGAAGGCCCGAAAATATCCACGAAGCGTAAAACGCGGCTCCTATATATACGTATACACGTGGAGGCATAGGCGCCGAAAGTGTGCAGCGCATGCTGGATAGTCAGTAATTTACGCGAACAAGATGTCTAGTTGTAAGTAGTCTAGTAATAATTATGATTTCTATTTGTCAACTTTTCGACTTTATTTGTTACATTTATTAGTGTTATCATTTGAAATATGACATTATGTATAATATTAATTTAATTTCATAATATATTATTAAGATGTATGATATAACTAAACATGAATATTAATAATATATAAAATGTATAGATATCTCTAATTAAACGAATTATTTTCGTTTACTGTGTATGTACAAATAGTATTCAGGATCGCGCAACGTAAACTATACTTCCTTTGTTCGGGGCCTCCCATCAGTTAAGGACGATGCGGTCCGTTTCACAATGCGGGCGCTAATGTCCACTTACCGCCGTGGAGGCCATGGAGCCTGTAGAACTATTCGGCTGTTTTAGTGCTTTACTGCGGCCATAATACCTCCCTTCTTAGACCAAAGTCAGGTAGAGAAATTTTGAGCCCAAATACCTGCACAATTCTATCTTGCAACCTACAATGTAGGTTGTCGCGCGATTATAAGCGCACTTGGCAAATATTATATTACTTCGTGTACATTACTTGCATGTAAAGACATTCATAAGCTATTAATTTATTAATTTTGCATTTGTAGTATATTTTTACGAATTCAATTTAACAGACTTTAGACACTTTAGGAGCTTTACTCCAAGAAATAAATTTGAATTGTAAAAGAATGATCAAAGGGAGGGTATTCTTTCAGATTTCTAGTATAAAAAAAATGTCAAAAAGCAGGACAAATATTTAATTTAATTTCTTTATTAGCATGGAAATAACTTTGAATAAGTTTTTCGTTTATTAATTATAAAGATAATTATATATTCAGAGTTTGTACGTCAGAATAATTTTAGAGAGGGAGCGTGATACGCAAACAGCGCGTGTCTGAATATCAAAGGAGGAAAAATACGACAGGATTGATTATGCACGAATAGATTGCACCTGCGAAATAATGAAGCGCATAATGAGAGGGTTTTTGACTCGGAATTTCCGTTGATTTGCCGATCAGCACGAAGTACTCATTGGGTGGTCTCTCATTACAACCGTTTTCTCAATGACTCCATAGCGCAGTCGGTCAGGAACATATGGTTCTTGGCCGTTGATTCACGATGACTGGCCCTACAGAGGCTAGTATTGTATATCTGACGAGTGATTTTTCATGGGAGCGGTCCGTCAAAAAATTTACCGCCGTTCCGCAATTAGGTCCCGGCCTTATAAAAACGCCGCTCAATTTAGAGTGAACACTAATTCAAAGCCGAATCGCTGCAGCGCCAATGATTGCAAGGATCTGGGGCTTTCGGTGTGTCTGCAGGAGCAAACTCTTCAGCCAATAA